GAATATGGAATATGGAATGGAATAGAATATGGAATGGAATGGAATGGAATGGAATAGAATAGAATAGAATAGAACAGAACCTTGGAGGTCTTCTAGTCCAACCCCCTGAATTTCAAACAAATGGTTATCCAATCTCTTCTTTAAAACTCCTGGTTTTGGAGCATTCACAGCTTCTGGAGGCAAGTTGCTCCACTGATCAATTGTTCTGTTAGTAAATTCCTCCTTAGTTCTAAGTCGCTTCTCTCCTTGGTCAGTTTGCTTCTTGTCCTGCCTTCAGGTGCTTTGGAAAATAATTTGTCTGAAGTGGTGTAGGGTTTCCTGCCCAAGCAGGGGGTTGGACTAGAAGACCTCCAAGGTCCCTTCCAACTCTGTTATTCGTGCTTTTACTGGTTCTCTCAACTCGCCAAAGCATTAACTATTAGCCCCAAAATTTGTGGCAGGCAGCTGCTCTCCCCCTGCCCCCCCCCAAGGATGGAGGCACAAATCGCAACAGGTCCCAGTAAAGTCTGTGTAGTCACAGCCAGGTTCACAGCAGTGCTCTGTTGCTTAAAAGGGGTTGAATTTTGGCATCTCCCCGGACATGATTCCAACCGTTGCATCTTTTAAGCTGTGATTTGTATCTTCCTCTGAGAGGTGAACTCCCCCGACTGAAGCTTAATCCGCAGATGTGGAGTTACCTTGGTTACAATCTGTTGCACCAGTATATTAACCGCAAGGGAGTCACTTACAGGCTAAGCAAAAAACGGGGGAGAGGGAGTATGATTAAAATGAGTATCTCTTTAAGTGGTTGGGTTCAGTAAGTTGAGGGAAGCCGGCCCTTGGGACCCAGTCCTGATATTGGTAGGGGTTGAAACCCAGAATATAAAATTAGCCAGCAGTTACGAATCAAAGTTGAAAGGTGAAATTCCTGATACTATTCCTTGCAAACCCCACTCCCTCCTAGCGCTGATGAAGTTACCTAGTTGGGTAATGAAATGTTTGCAAGCAACCACAAGGCTCAAAGAGCATCAAGGACTGTAAGTTGTCCTCTTCCTCCTCCTCCCCTCCCCTCCCCTCCTCCTTCCTTCCTCCCTCTCCTCCCTGCAAACCCCACTCCCACTTTTAGCATTGGTGATGTTGCAGTTTCCCATAGTCTGTGGCCCCTGAGGAGGAGGAGGAGGAGGGACCCCTGAAACGTCCCCATTTAACACAGCCCTCACCCCCCGAGTTACCTTTCTGTAACGTTCTGCAACTCCCTGCTGAAAGGAGCCCTGAGCTCAGTTTTGATATGAAAAGACATTCTGGAATTCAGTCCTAGTCAGTAAATAGATCCTTCATTCTCATAATGTAGCCATCTCCCGCTTTCCCTCCCTCCCTCCCTCCCTTCAAATAGGTCTTTCCTTTTATATATCTATCTATATTGTAGGGTCATAAAGGGACAGCCCTTTACTTCAAAAAGCTGTTCTTTAGATATATATTTATTTCAATTACTTTCTTCAAGTTTGCTCTTGAATTCTCCTTTGTGAAGCAAAATTATAAACATTTTTTGTCCTTCTGAACCTCTTTCACATTTACCTCTTTAGCAGGATTGCCCTTTGTTTGTTTTCCAAAAAATATGGTCATGGTAGGCTCTGCCTATAACTATCATCTGTCTGTCTGTCTGTCTGTCTGTCTGTCTGTCTGTCTGTCTATCTATCTATCTTTAATTCATCCATTTATCTTTCTTCTATCTCTATTTTTCTGTGTATATCTATGTGTACTTTATTCTGCTTTATATATGTCTGTTTGTCTACCTACCCACCTACCTATTTATCTGTATCAATCATCTATCATCTATCAATCTATCTCAATCTATATCTATTTATCTCTATCATCTATCTCTATTTCTGTCTCTATCTATCATCATCTCTGTCTCTATCTATCATCCATCCACCTATCTATCCCTATCCATCCATCCATCCATCCATCGGTCTGTCTGTCTGTCTGTCTGTCTGTCTGTCTGTCTGTCTGTCTGTCTGTCTGTCTATCCATCTATCCATCCATCCATCCATCCATCCATCCATCCATCCATCCATCCATCTATTTCTATGTATCACCTATCAATCATCTATCTATCTCAATCTCTGTCTCTATCATCTATCTACAGTATATCTGTCTCTATTTTTCATCCATCCATTCATCCATCCGTCTAATTATTTAATCTATATTTTTTTCTATCTCTTTATTTCTCTAACTGGCTGTATGTCTCTCTCCTTGTGTGTGAACTCTCTGTGTTATGAAAAATTAAAGAAAGCATTAGATTTTATCAACAGAAGTCAATCGTTATTCATTAGGAAAAAATTTTTTGTTTCACCTCTGGCCACTTTTGGTCTCTCAAACAGGACATTTGGGTTTTTCTGGATGGTTATAATAAGCTGCATGGATGTGCTTTGCTGCAGACAGTACAGACCCCAACAAATTAATGAAAAGAAATAAATCAACAAACTAATGCCTGTTTTTTTTAATATATAAAAGGAACATCCCTTTTCCCACCTCATCAGAGATCTCTTCTATTAGCTTTTCCCTGGAAAGGAAAAAGGCTGCAACCGAAAGGGGTCTTCAGAGGGTGAAAAAGCACAGAAATTTGTAGGATATATAATGCTTGTGGGTGTGTGTATTAGTTTTAGTTAACTTAGTTAATACACTAATACACACACACATAATTAATAAAACTAATTAGTTAACTAGTTTTATTAATTATGTGTGTGTATTAGTTTTAGTTAACTTTAGTTAACTAATTAGTTTTATTGTGTGTGTGTGTATATATATGTTTTCTTAAGTTTTCGCGGGTACTTACATGTATGGCATTCAGCTTTGTTCGGGTATTTTCCCACGTCATTGTAGTTGTGCTTTTAAAGTTGTAGTGACGTTTCGGCAGAATCTCATCTGCCATCATCAGGCTTCTGTATTGTGTCCGTCTGTGATATATATACACACACACACTATATAACTTTAACTATAACTATAACTATCTATCTATCTCTATATCTCTATCATCTCAACCTCTCTCTCTCTCTCTCTCTCTCTCTCTCTCTCTCATAGATAGATAGATAGATAGATAGATAGATAGATAGATAGATAGATA